TATATAAGTCTCCAGAAAAGGCTTTTCTGTTGGAAATTAGGTCTTTATTATGGAGAATAGTGGGTGTATTTCAAAATGGTTATTTTTACCCTCTTGCTGCCAGAACTATGAGGGGATTTTTTTCTTGGTTCTTAACCTGGTAGGATTCTTAAAATACCCATGAAAATGTGTCCCCCTCCCTCGCTGGCAAGAATTCAGTCCCAGGAGCTTTTCACTCTCACATTAGTTAATCTTGCTTCCAGCATTCATCAGAATTAGTACATAAGTGTTCCTTATTTATGGCTTCAGAAGTTTCTGCTCAGGTAAACAGATCATTACTGTGATTCTCTGCATTTTTATATCTCTCCGGATTTTAGGGTGCCAGTTTGTCCCACAGCCTCAATTCTCCAACCAGTCCAAGAAGTCAATGAATTTTTCAGTTTCTTCAGCTCGTCTAAGGATGGGAGTGATGATCTCCAAGCTCTTTACATGTCAGAAACCAGAAGTCTGCTTATGGACTTTTACCATATCTATGAAATAAATGCCTTTCATAGGTTTTGGAATAATGGTGATATTCAGAGTCGATGGCCAAAAAAGAATTCTTGAAGATGTCTTTGGTACAAAAAGGTGACTTTATTAAAGCATAAGGACAAGACCTGTGGGGAGAAAGAGCTGTACTGGGGTTATGAAGAGTGACTGGTTATATACTGTAGAATTGGGAGAGGTGAAGTCAAGAGGAAATATCTTTTTTTTTTTTTAATTTTAAAAACGTTTATTATTTAAGAAAGACAGAGCATGAGCAGGGAAGAGGCAGAGAAAGAGAGGAAGACAGAATCTGAAGCAGGCCCCAGCTGTCAGCACAGAGCCTGATGCAGGGCTTGAACTCACGAGCCATGAGATCATGACCTGAGCTGAAGTTGGATGCTTCACAGACCAAGCCACCCAGGCACCCAAGAGGAAATTTCTTAAAGGGATTTTCATGTGCTAAAGAAGACTCACAAATTACTGAAGGCCTAGCTATTGTCAAACTAAGGTTTTTTCCTTTAACAAAACATTAACATTAAGATAGTAAGGAGTTCCTGGAGATTAGATAAGATTGCCTTTTTTTTTTTTTTAATTTACTAAAATGTTTGTAAACTGATGAAGACTCTTGTGTCCTGCATGTCTGTGACCTCTATCAGTTAACCATTGGTTTTCTTTCCCTTTCTTTTATCCTTGAGCAGTCAGGAGTGCCTGAGGAATACCACATATATCTCACCTTGGGTTTGGGGTGGGAGGGTTGGTATGATGTTGTTAGGTTGTGTACTTTACCCTCAGCTTGCCTTATGCTTGTTCATCACCTTCATAGCAATACCTAAATTCATACCTGTACATACAGAGCACTGTCCACCCCTTGTTAGCTTGCTACTCTTATTCATCTCAAGCTATATTTAATCTCAAATAAAGGCAATAACAAAGTTATACTTCTGCCTAACATGATACTGATTCAAGGACATGGAGTCCAATGGTCAAGAAAGAATTCTTGAGATGTTTATAGTTCAACTTAACAAGTTTATTTAAGTAGCCTGTGGACAGAATCTAAGGGCAGAAAGAGCTGCACTTTTTGCTGTGTGAGGCTGGTGGTTATATGCTAGTAACCCAAGGGAAAGGGAGAATGGAAGGAATATCAGGTTACAAAAGTTCTTTTGAATTTCTTTGAATTTCTACTTAAAATTCTACTTTTGCAAGATTCATCTGGTGCATATTGTAGAGGCCACTTTTAGGTAATCATCAGTCTTGAGCAATGGAATGTAGAAAGGGCCCACAGCAACCACCTGGCTGAATATAGACAGGCCAGCAGGGACCCACCTCAAAATAGCTATAGTCCCTAACTGACAAATGGGTTACTTTTGTAACCAGGCACAGTTACCAAAAAAGGAAGAATTTCATTCATTGCCATACCCACATTTTCCCCCTTTAAAAAACAGCCCCTCGGGGCGCCTGGGTGGCTCAGTCGCTAAGCATCCAACTTCGGCTCAGGCCATGATCTCACAGTTCGTGGGTTCAAGCTCAGAGCCTAGAGCCTGCTTCCGATTCTGTGTGTGTGTCTCTCTCTCTGACCCTCCCCTGCTCACGCTACCCCCCCCCTCAGAAATATATAAAACATTAAAAGATAAATAAAAAACAGCTCCTACCCACTGCCTCATTGCAGACAGCCTCTCCTCTGCTGTCCTGCCCCAGCAACTCCTTTGCAGTGTGTTCAGTAATCTTTGTTCTGCCTTAGGTGAATTCTTTCACTGCCATGCCACCGGCTTCCACCTGATTGTCACACACATTTGATGACCCCTGTCCAATCAGGACAGATACCCAATTCAGTTTGATAATACCTATCAATGAGATATATAGGCAGTCATGATACACTTAAAGAATTTCACCACCAGCGCTTGTTTGATCTTTATCGAAACTATGCAGGTTTTAGGTCAGCCTTCTAGGCTAAGGGTAAATAAACATTTTCCTGCTTTTGTCCCTCATCAATACAACTTTATACAACTGAAAACATGCTAACCTTTACCCAGAAGAGCATGCAAGAACAGTCATTTTCTCCTTTGATCTTATAACTTAAATTCTGTGATTTAAAGTTAACTATTATTAATATATCTCATGTTTGTGATGATAACAGGAAAAGAGAGGGAAGAAAGTAATATCTCTTAGCTTTTGCATATTTTCTTTTATAGTATATCAGGGCAGTTGATAGCATACCAAGGTAAGTTTCACCTTCATCTGGTGTAGTTGAAATCTTTGGATCTGTGGTTCAGCTGACCAACCAATTAGATCCTTTTCTAACCCTCTTGAGTTAAAACATTGAATTCAAAATCCCTGCTTAGCAGACCCATATCAATATAGTCAGCCTAATCCAACTTTATATTCTTTCTACCATGATCCCACACCATTAAGATCTATTTCCACCATATGACCCATATTATCTCTCTCAATCGGAAAAAATCATGCAAGTCTTTTGGTGTATAGTGCATCTTTTGGTATGTGGGTCACACTTTGTAACTCACCCTTTGGAGCCTGCTGGGACTTACATCAAGTGATAGGTCTAGAAATAAGTAGGGGGACAGGTTCTGAGGAGAATCAGCAGTGCCTTGTAAGAAAACTTCTTCAGGAAAAGAAAGGCTAACCTTAAGCAGGGGTCAAATTGCGGATTCTGCTGGCAAAGAGGACCTGGGAGAATTTAGAGATTCAATGTTCCTTGTTTCATGTCCCCATTGCAATTTTCAGGATCCCATTCCTTCCCAACTGGTGTTCACTTTAACAGAAAACACTCTGTTAGGTTGAGAGTTCAGTTTACATTGTAATTCAGCCATTTGCAGGAAGAGCCACTAGGCCACAAGAGAGATTCCTCCAGGGCAGATTAATCTTTCAGGTCAGTGTGAAACTGAAACTGGGAATCAGAAGCCCTGAGTTTATCCTTTTCTTTCTCAACTTTCTCCTCCACAGTTAGGATAATCAGCCAATCCCTTTACACTCCTTAGTTTCACTAAAATATTCTAATATAGTAAATACATGGTCACCTAGAATCTCACTTTCTCTAGGTATCTGATTAGGAGTATCTAATGATATTTTGCATATCTCTTGCCACATCATGTCTTGGACTACTGGTGTCCTCTTTACTGCTAGAAATAGTCAGTGTCTTTGATGAGATTTGAGACCAATCCAGAAAACCCAGAATCAATTTGGAAAACTCATCTTTAATATTCTGTTCCTCTAGAAACACTCCTAGTATCAAAATCTGTATCAGTTAGGATTCAACCAGGGAAAGAGAACCAGAAGTAGATAGTACATATACTAAGAAAAAAAAAAATTTAATGTTTAATTTTGAGAGAGAGAGGGAGATAATAGAATCTGAAGCAGGCTCCAGGCTCTGAGCTGTCAGCACTGAGTTGGACATGGGACTTGAACTCACGAGATGTGAGATCATGATCTGAGCCAAAATCAGACACTTAACTACTGAGCCACCCAGGTGCACCAATATATTAAGAAATGTATTAAAAAGAATTGGCTTACATGATTGAGGGGGCTGACCAGGCAAGTCTGAAATCAATAGGACAGACCATTTTGAAGGGCAGGCTAGAACTTGGGCATGGGGTGAAGAAGCTGTCCATAAATGAAATTTATTTGGAGAAGCAAGGTATATAGCATAGTTTCTGATAGGTGCTCAAGGAATAACATCTGTAATTATTACATAAAAGAAGGTAGAATAGAGGAGCAAAATCAGCCTTTTAGAGTCTTGAAGTTAATCTTTTTTACCAGTATAACTACATTACATCTGTCAGTGCTCAGTTGCAAAGCCTGACATGGGGCTTGATCCCATGTCCCTGAGATCGTGACCTGAGCTGCAATCAAGAGTTGTTCGCTCAAGGGGCGCCTGGGTGGCTTAGTCGGTTAAGCGTCCGACTTTCGCTTAGGTCATGATCCCGTGGTTTGTGGGTTCGAGCCCCGCGTCGGGCTCTGTGCTGACTGCCAGCTCAGAGCCTGGAGCCTGTTTCAGTCTGTGACTCCCTCTCTCTCTGACCCTCCCCTGCTCACGCTGTCTCTCTCTCTCCTAGAAATAAATAAAACATTAAAAAAAAAAAAATTTTAAAAAAGAGTTGTTCGCTCAAGTGACCGAGCCCCCAAGCACCCTGATAGATATGTATTTATTGTTATTGTATTACTTGGGTTTCTTTGGGCTGTTACTGAAGATTTTCTCTGAGCTATTCTTGTCTTTCATGTTTTGCTGATTTGCTTTAGTGATACATATTGATTTACATCTCTTCATTCTTTGCATATATATTAGTGGTTTTTGATTTGTGGTTACCACTAGGTTGTATATACCCTCTTCTGCATATAACAGTCTATATTAAATTGATGGTCGTTTAAGTTTGAATCCATTCTTTTCTCCTCCCCATGTTTTATGTATATGTTATTATATTTTATATCCTTTTTTAATGAGTTCCTTGACTGATTTTTTTTACAGAAATACTCTTTTTTTCTCAGGTCAAATATTGGTAATGTGCCAACGTTGTAACAAGGTTTAAGGGTGGCACCGTCACACAACAACATGAACACCCAATCATCACACTTATGAACTACAAAAGGATCATAGAGAAATATTCATTTTTATTTCGTTTGTGTTTTCCTACCTGTATACTGTCACTTTTGGTCTCTCTTTTCCACTCAGAGAGCCTTCTTTAATATTTCTTGCAGGGCTGGTTTAGTGGTCATGAACTACTTTAGTTTCTGTTTGCCTGGGAAACTTTTTATCTTTCCTATCCTGAGTGATAGTCTTTTTTTTTTTTTAATTTTTTTTAAAATATTTTTTTATTTATTTCTAGGAGAGAGAGAGAGACAGCGTGAGCAGGGGAGGGTCAGAGAGAGAGGGAGTCACAGACTCTGAAACCGGCTCCAGGCTCTGAGCTGGCAGTCAGCACAGAGCCCGATGTGGGGCTCGAACCCACGAACCGCGAGATCATGACCTAAGTGAAAGTCGGACGCTTAACCGACTAAGCCACCCAGGCGCCCCCTGAGTGATAGTCTTGCTGGTTAGAGTATTCTTGGCGACAAATTTTTCCCATTCAGCATTTTGAATATATCATGCTAGTCACTTCTGTCTTGCCAACTTTCTGTTGAGAAAAATTCCAGCTAGTTTATGAATTTTCCTTTATAAACTTGTGATTCTTTTTGTCTTGCTGCTTTTAAGATTGTTTCTTTATCACTATATTTTTCCAATTTGATAAAATATGTCTTGACGTGGGTCTGATTTTCTTGATTTTTAAAAAATATTTAATTTTGAGAGAGAGAGAGAGACAGTATTGAGTGAGGGAGGGGCAGAGAGAGAGGGAAACAGGGAATCTGAAGCAGACTCCAGTCTCTGAGCTGTCAGCGTAGAGCCTGATATAGGGCTTAAACTCCTGAAATCCAAGTTCATGACCTGAGCGAAAGTCAGACACTTAACTGACTGAGCTCCCCAGGCATCCCTGATTTTGCTGATTTTGATGGGAGTTCTCTGTGTCTCCTGTAACTGGATATTTGTTTCCTTCCCCAGATTAAGGAAGTTTTCCGCTGCTATTTTTTCAAATAAATTTTCTGCTCTCTTTTCTCTCTCTTCTTCTGGGACTCCTATAATACAAATATTATTTGGTAGAATCACTGAGTTTCCTAATTCTATTCTTGTTTTGTATAATTCTTTTTTCTCTCATTTGTGCAGCTTGATTACTTTCCATTATGCTATCTTTTAGGTCACTAATTCATTTCTCCTCTTCTTCCATCCTGCTGTTCATCCTATCAAATGTGTTTTGTTTATTGAGCCCTTTATCACTGTTGTTATCTGTGTGTTAAGGGTCTCTCAGTCATGTCTTCCAGTCTTTTCTCAAGCCCAATGAATATCCTTATGATCATCACTTTAATTTCTTTGTCAGACATGTTACTTATATCTATTTTGTTTAGATTTCTGGCTGTGGCCTTGTCCTATTCTTTTACTTGGATACATTTCTCTGTCTTCTCATTTTCTCTGCCTCTCTGTGTCTGTTGCTGTGCATTAAGAAAGTCAGCCACGTCTTCTGCTCTTAAAAGTAGTGACTTTATGAAGAAGAGTTTGTAGAGTGCCCTGCAGTGCAATGTCCCCTGTTCACCGAAACCTGGCACTTCAGGAGAATGTCCTTGTGTGTTGTTTATGTCCTCTGTTGTGTCTGAGTCACTTTTCCTTTCAGTATAGTCATATGCACTGACTCTTTGACTATTGTGGGCTGTGCTTGCTTTCTGTGGTATTAGTGGCACCCAGGCAGGCCAGCTCTGTGGGGGGCGCCCCCTGGGGAATTTGGGAGTGAGGTGAAGATGTTAGCAAAATTTGCACTGGTCTACTAGTCCTATGCTGGATTTCCCAAAGCACCGTGGTGTCTGAGGTCTGTGAACCAGGGTAGCCAAGAGTGAGTTCTGCAGTGGCAACTCTGCATCCAGTGATTGAATGTGTCCTGTGGCAGCAGTTGTGATGGCTGGGTGCATGATGCATACTAACAAACTTTGCTCTGAGCCCAGGGTGAAGGCTAACAGACTTAAATGGGGTGAGTCCTCAGGAGAACTTGTGGCCATGGTGCACTGCTCACAGGTTAAGTAGTGATTGTGTGTGCAATGCCACCTCCCACAGTCAGTGCTATGTTTATGCTGGGTGGCAGGGGAGGAAAATAGTGCCTCATCTTCAGAGAAGTTGCCCTATAGGCTCTGAAATTGATAAGAATAGATCAGTCTCTTATTTGCCACTGGAATTGTATTTTCTGCTGTTTTTGTGTTTCTTCCCCACACAGGCTGCTGTCTCTTTAAGGGTAGCAACCCAGCTATCACTTGCCTTCCCTGCTCACCCAGTGCTTTGCAAGCTGACTTTTAAAGCTCCAGGTTCCAAGTCCCACTGGTTATACAAACTCACAGAATTCAGCTCCTCCTGGCAAATGTTATAGGGATTAATCTCCCCACTGTGAACTTCCTGGTGTGAGGGCCAATTTCTCTGCCCTCTCTGTTTGTGTAGCTCCCTCCCTCCTGAGGGTCTCCTCCCTTTGCCTTTCTGATCTTCCTAACCTTTCAGATGCAGCTTCTTCTCTACATTTAGTTGTGGAGTTTGTTCTGCCAGTCTTCACATTGTTCTCTGTTCTCCAGTTTATTCACTTGGATGTGGATGATATCTAGTTGTAAATATGGGGTAGATGAGTTCAGGATATCTGCTATCTTCCCAAGCTCCCCAGGGATTCAGTTCTTTACATAAATTTCAAGTACTGGTATTAAAGCCCTGGGAATGTGAGATGTCACTGGGATTGACTCTTGTCCTCTTTTCTCCTCTTTCTGAGACAACAGTATGATGATTGGGACAGATTTGAATCCCAAGAAGAAAATCTATCAGATCCTCAGAGGGATGCTAGGGCCCTTGCTTGAATGTCTTCACCTTCACCCACTCAGTCTTAAATTTTACGTACTTGTAATGCCTGTTCAAATGATTATTCTTTTCTTTGGGTATCAACTCTGCCAATTGACTACACCTCGTTTAAGGTACAGTACTCTAAGTCTTCTCTAAATCTTTTTCCTAAGAGTTTCATAAGCTCTGGTTGTCCCTGACTCAATTCTCCACTTTTTTTTTTTTTGCAGTTGACCATTTTCACCTGGTTGACCCTCCACTTAACTGTATTGACTAGTGGACTGGACCCTCCATTTGGCTGCAACATGCCCTCCACATACAAAGTGTTACGGAAAACTTTCTAGGTATTACTACTACAAAGAATGTGCTAACCATGCAACCCGCAAAAAGTCATTCTTATTGGCCATATGACTTTGAACAAGTTACTTAACTTTTATGCACCTATAACGTGGACATAAAGATAGTACCCAATTCACACAATTGTTGGAGGATTTAATGAATTAATATAAAGTACTTAGTGCCTGATGTGTTTTAGGTGCTTAGAAGTAGGTATGATTATGCTGTACCTGCTACTGCTAAATACTTTGGATTAAAAAACTTATACTTTCTAGTTTCTCTCATTGACACTAAGCCATTGCCTGCAGAGTCCTTTCTTTTTGTCCCATTATCTTTTTTCCTCAGGGTCCCCAATCCTCTGGTATGTTGAGGAAGGGAAAATTCCTATTATTTTATTATGCTGAGTAATGTACCTCCCATATTGGGGGTGAGAGGCTGAAGGGATATAGGTTCCAATCTGTTCATAACGAAAAGGCCAGTGAAAGTGTCTTCCTAAACAAAATATGGAGCTTCATTGCATCCGAGACACCACCAACTGTAAGAAATAAATAAGCCAATTAACCTTTAGAATTTTAATTTTATTTATTTAAAAGTTATTTTGACAGAGTAGAATGGTGGGTACCAGGGGCTGGGGGGGTGGGAACTGGAGACGTGTTGTTTAAGGGTACCAACTTAACAATTTGTAGATAAATTTGCAAGATCTAATGCCCAATATTATAGTCAAACTGCATTGCAAATTTCAAAACTGCTAAGAGGCTAAATCTTATCTATTCTCAACACAAGAAAATAAGTGATAAATATGTGACATGATAAGGGAGTTAGGTTAACACTACTGCAGTAATCACATTGCAACATATAAATGTATCAAACCAACACATAGTACACCTTAAACTTACACAATGTTATAAATCAATTATATCTCAATTTTTTTTTTAATATTTTTATTTTATTTCTAGGAGAGAGAGAGAGACAGTGTGAGCAGGGGAGGGTCAGAGAGAGAGGGAGTCATAGACTGAAGCAGGCTCCAGGCTCTGAGCTGGCAGTCAGCACAGAGCCCGACGCGGGGCTCGAACCCACGAACCGCGAGATCATGACCTAAGCGAAAGTCGGACGCTTAACTGACTAAGCCACCCAGGCGCCCCTATATCTCAATTTTTTTAAAGAAAAAAGACATGAAAATATTTTAAAAAGTTATTTTGAACTTATTTAGAAATAGAATCAAGCCAAAATGAACAGCTATGGCCAAATTCACTCATGCGTGAACAATGACAACTACATCACAAACTGGTTAGACACCATTGGTTGTGAAATGCATGTAAGTTTCAGGGATGTTAAAGTGTGAAAATGGAAAAATACATCTTTTTAAAAAATTCTTTTTAATACTTATTTTTGAAAGGAAGAGAGAGAGAGAGAGAACGAAACGGGCAGGGGAGGGGCAGAAAGAGGGAGACACAGAATCTGAAGCAGGCTCCAGGGTCTGAACTGTCAGCGCAGAGCCCGACTCAGGGCTCAAACTCAAACTGTGACATCATGACCTAAGCGGAAGTTGCATGCTTAACAGACTGAGCCACCAGGTGCCCCAATGAAAGAATACACCTTAAAATAAGTGGAATATGTTTGTTTTCCTTCAGCCAATCCCCTAGAATGTAGAAATTTCATTTTTCTTGGTATAGTTTCATGTGTTTGATACATGAATTTCTGTAAAATAATTTCTCTCTACCCAAGACTTCAGATGTTTAAATATATCTAGCTTTTAGGGTACTTGGGTGGCTTGGTCAGTTAAGTGTCTGACATCAGCTCAGGTCATGATCTCGTGGTTCATAAGTTCAAGCCCTGTTTTGGGCTCTGTGCTGACATCTTGGAGCC